CTTTTATAATTGCTCTTGCCAGGTGCTAAGATGAGGAGAAAGGGAAGAAACTGCTGCCCAACACCTCCAACAAGAAACTTTGCTTAAAAAAACCCAGGTGTCACATTGTGGCAGTTCAATATTTCATAGCCAATACAAGGAATGTGCAACAACACTGCAACTTTAAATCTTTGCCTCCCGTGTCAGTCTCTCTCCTCTCATTGTAATGCCAAAGGGAACAGCAATCAGAGTGGAGATGTTCAACGTGATAGAGGTCAGGACACCAGTGGATCAACGTACCAGAAACACGACCTTGTTTATTTTTTTCCCCGGTATTATTGTTTACAGGGTGCTTTGCTCATGTACCTTGTGGTTCTTAGCTAAAAGATGAAATTACAGCCCAGGATGAAGCGCTCAGGCACACATCCAATTTGTGTTTCCATCTCAGAAAACAAAAAGCTTCTGAGGCCCTCGGGCTGCCATTCAAACTTGGAGAGGCTGACATTTTTAACAGCATGAACCAGAGACTGGCAGAGGGAATGATCTAATGCATTTCTGACTTGTCAATCAAAGATCTCACCTCTGCTGTCTTGTAAACAGTTGGGGGCCACCTAAGTACATTCATAACCAGGGGAGAGCCTGCCGCCAGCCGGGGGGTGCTGGAGCCACATGCTCTGGCTATTAGTCACCAAAATTATGATTCCGTTTTAGAGGCGCACTGTAAACAGCCCGCGGGCAGATTTCACACGGCCGCTGGGAGAGCATGAGGGGGGAATGCAAAGCAGGTTCGGTGAGGGCAGCCACGTCTCCACACCGATGGAGTCTATTGACTGGACACCCCATCTCTCTCCCAATTAAGAGACAGAACTACGCACACCAGCAAACATTGGCTCCAAAGCTGATTTCCTTCAAACTCCTTTCTCACAAACACATTTCTGAGCATGCACAATTTGCCCAGCCCAAGACTTTAGCTTTAACCTCCTGTATAACCATAAATAATGTACTCCTACTCACATTTACACTGCATTTCCCAGCAATAAGATGTCAACTTTTAAGGCAAAAATGCATGAACAGGCTAAGGAAATTCAGAGAGACAACTGTTTCTAACAATTTACTGACAATGCTTCTTTACCAAATACTCTACTTCCTAACACAAAAATATAAACATTAGGGAAAAAAAATAGATGTAAAATTCATTTGAGAAATGAGTTTGTCTCTGCCTCATGGCTGCAACAGGCTTCCGTCACTACAGGCTGTTTACATCTTTCATACTCTCACCTTTCTCCAAAAGCGATCTCAGTCCAAAGAAAGGAGTGCTGTACACCATGTCATGCTGCACAACCTCAAGTGCATGCCTGTTTACTTCAATTTACCTAGCACAGTACACCCGTGCTTTCCTCAACCAGGACACAGCTTTCTGCCAAGACCAAAGACGACACACCTTGCTTCTGCAAAACCACACAGAAGGCAGTCCCCTTCATCTGATAAACTCTGATGTGCAGTTCTTGATGATCAAGACCTTCACTTCAGTTAAAGGAAAATGTGAATTTCTGGCATTCTAGAGACACTTGTGTATTCAACAAGATGCTGCTACCTCCACCACAAAAGTTAATCCTCCTCTTTGACTACAAGTGCCTGTTACAGAAATAGAGTTTCAGATCTGGCAAAATAAAGGTGACAAGACAACTCTTTTGCTTTTTCACTGGTGCCTAGGCTCCAAAGAAGTAAAAGCATGACTGTTGTCCCCAAAAGTTTACAGTCTAAACTGGAGCTGATATTCGTGATGGGTGTCAATTAGGTAAAAAGGAAGCGCTGGACTGTTCTCTGTGATTACCCTGATACATAACCTTTGGCAAGACTTTCAAATTGCTCTTCAAGCCTCCTCATTTATATAATAGCTTACAGAAATAAATTCAAGGAAGTACTGTGGTCTTCTGCAAACCTGGAAGGATTAATACAATCATTTCCTTGGCATACTTGATCGGTGTAATTATAAATTAGAATTTTCAGAGAACTGCGACTATTAAAAGCAACATAAACAGAGCCTTGTGAGCACGCATAAAAAGTATTTCAAAAGGGAAAGTAATTATCTTCAAATGAAAAATATAATGAAAACAGACACCTGTTGGCACATCTGGAAACTTCCAAAGCATGGATTTCTAGGAAAAAGAATATACTCTGCATAATTTTTTTTTTAATTATTAAGAGAATCTACACACAACCTAGTTTTCAATTGCTTTGCAGAATAACAGTACAGTAAAATTTGGCACCCAAGACACTGAAAATAGAATGGATGGCCTTTTTCTCTTGTTAACACAGCCTCTTTGACCCCTTCCCACAGTGCCTTATAGGAGTTCAAGTTCCAATTTGCTGCCATCTTCCACCATGATCTCTATGAAATTCAGTTACTCAATAGACTATGAGTTGCAAAGCCCTTTGAGAGAAGAGATGTTAAAAAGAACTGTTTCTAGCTCCTTATTCCCCCATTCATGGGTTTAGCCTTAAAACCTTTCCCACTGTGGGAGGATTGCCAAACAGAGCTGAGGAACCAGAAGATCCTGTTTTCACACAAGTGTCTCCAATAATAAAAACACACAAAGAAGAAAAATGAACTTATCTGACATATTAACAGAATCATCTCTAAATCTACTATCTGCCAATGTTTCCCATGAGGAGTCAGCAGGGCTTTAACTGAGCTATTAAAAAAGAGCCTCTTTCCACATTTCTGTCTGAGCATCTGAAGGTAAGCATGTAAATAACTAGACAAATTCAGCAGTGACTAAGTAGCCTTCCAGATGGCATCTTCTCTTTTGCCACAAGCAAAGAACATTGATATGCTTCTCCAGTTACTTCAAGCTTGCTATGGAAAAAAGAAAATAACTTATTATGAGAAAATTTGCTGGGCTACAAGAAAGTCTTTAATGCTTTCCTGAAGATTCGATATCAAAAAAAGCATTAAAGAACGATGAAACATTGCAACATCACAGCTTCAAGCAGGCTCCAAACCACTCCCATGTAGACTTCTGCACTGGAAAATGCAGAAGCCATGCCTCATAGAGGGGAGTTTTCTTCAAACCATGCAAGTTAATGGGGACCAAAGCCCATTGAAAAAAAAGGACTGAAATATGGATGACTTATTGCTGCAAAAGCTGTTGCTGGCAATTTAGCTTCTCCCGCAATTGGCACTAAATGTGTTCCTCAACATAGCAGTCAGAGCGATGTGAAGAGTAACAGTTTTTAGATGGCAAGTGGGGCAAGGCTTCCCCAATTCCCATAGTCACTAAATACACATGGAAATGTCTCTCAAAATCTGCAGGAATGCAAATGTCAAAGTCCTACTACTCTCCCAAGAAGGCAGTACACAGTGAATAGTTGTGCAGCTGACTCATTTGAACCCAAATATCAATGCACTGCATTAGCAGAAAAGATATTGTTCCTATCTATCCTATCTATCATTAGCAAGAACATCTTGAGCTAAAAGAGGCTAATTTCCCTTCCCCTTTGTAATATATGCTTATTCTGAGTAATCAAAAATAATTCAAGTAGAAAGAAAGGAGTCCCAATTTGAGTTTTTAAATTGCTTTCCATATACTGCTAAGGTTCTCTGAAACCTGGGCTTAAAGAGATCTGAGATTTATTCAACAGCAGAAAGCCCAAAAATGAGGCCCATCCGATTTAGTCAAATTATGCAAATCAGGATTAGAAGTAGGAATCTAAACTCTGCCTGTTGTCTCCAGAGTCCTCTTAGACTAATAAAAAGTCGTCTTCCCCCTCCCCCATGGAAAGCTCCACTAAAAGCTTGCTTCAGCAAAGGAGACCTGGCAGGACACCTTCCAGAGTCCATCAGTGCTACTGCTGGGTCAGCAAAAAGACTTGCAGCAAAATGATGCAAGACACTTAAGCCTCCCCTGAGGCTTATTTCCACAGTACTCTCCTAGCCCTGGGAGGAAGAAGTCGAATTCAAAATAATCTTTGCATGCTGTCCTTTAGAGGCACATAATGAACTTTCACCAAAACGAGTGAAAGTTTCAGAAAGATTCTAGCTTATTTATTATGTCTGGTTTTGCAAGATGCTGATGAATAAAACTCTCTGCCACAGGTTAGGTCAGCAGTAGCGTAATCCAGCAGCACAAACCTTGAAGTCAACGTTCATGCTACCATGAGCTCCAACAAAAACGTTCTCTATAGAGATACTCCTAACGTCTCTCAGTTACTGCAGTTCACACATCTCGGAGACAGAGTATTCAACATGAACATAACATCTCTGCTGTTTATATCCATGTCATTGTAAAATGCTTGCAATGATCTTGAGAGCCTTGTGTAGGTTTCTAGATGCTCACCCAATAGCTGCCTCACTCTCTACCCACAGGAAAGCATCTGCATTTTGCAAGATTCACTGGTCACCCAAAGTGCCTGAACAAACCTGTTTGGCAGAAAGCTATTTCATGACAGAGAAAAGCTTGAATCTAACAAAATCAGAGACCAAAGAAAAAAAACAGGTTTTCTTTGTTTGCCTTTTGATTGACAGCTTACTTGTACAATAATTTTCTGTGTCAAAATGTCCAGACTACTGCTAACAAACCTGAAGTAAACAAATGCTGGCATCAATTATCACTATGGCAATGAACCCACCCCCTCAGTCCTCTAAGTGGCAAACAGAAAACTTAGATAGGAGGGGAATCACTCCATGAATAGCCAGACTGGAGACTGCGTGATGGATACTGTTTGCCAAATATAATTAAGTGGTATATTTTTGACACAACTGAAAGCCAATGGAAAAGATGATGGTACCAAGCCAATTTAGACAAAATAATTATATTATATTGAGGTAATGGAAATGTCCCAGCACTGACCTACCCTGAATCGACACAAGATGGGTTTAAATACCAGCAATCTGAATGACATAAGAGAGGCATATAGTATGAAGGAGAATAAATGGCGGTAAAGCAAGCAAGTAAAGGAGGAGATGCACACGTACACAGACAGAGAGAAAAGAAGGAGCGGGGAGAGACAGAAAGTACCTGGAAAGCTGGGAGTGCGCCAGTCCCTGGGTTATACAGGCATCGCAGTGAGGGCATGCTGTCCGCCAGGCTGGAGCAGCCCAGCCACAGAGATCTGGGCATAGAGCACTGCAGAGAAAGGACAACTATGAGATGGGACTGTATGAAACAGGATGGCACAGATTACAGGAACTTTCAAGGCTTAGCCAAATGGCATCAACACAACTGCACCTGGCGTTAAAGACTGAGATATCTTTAAGAGAACACAAACTGCTGATGAGTCTTTTCCTTGAGAGAAGCTTTACAGATGTCATAATACCAAGAAAAAGTCACTATGGATCAAGAAAGTAAATTTTTGGTCAGTTTTCTACACCAATGTGTGAGTTTCTCCAGTAACAAAAAGTTTCTTTCCAATTAATCAGACCTCTTCTCCATGCACAGCCACGCTCCAGGCACAACACAAAGCAAGTAATTTTGCAAGGGAAGCAGAAAAGGAAATGACAACTTTAAGTGTAATACTGGCAGTGAAAGAAAAGGTTTGGGTTTTGTCTGTAAAGGGGATAAAAGGAAAAACCTGCAATCCAAGGTGAATAGGAACTTGGTTACACTTTATGTAAGTTTAATGTTTCTGCTTGCCTTGTTATTCATTAAATAAAATACAATTATTATAATAAATTGATTCTGTTCCTCCAAACACAAATACAAAAAAGGAGCCAAAGCAGCCATCAAGGAAAATACTAGCCATTTTGATAGTTAAAGCCTTTACCCCCTGAAATATAGAGAGTTGCTTGTTCATTTTACACCACTACTATTAAATTTAGGGATGCATTATGATAGCAATTGCTTTTACCAGCCACGGAGTTTTTGATGCCATAAGCACTACTGCATTTGCCTAATTACTGGCAAGGCAGGAAAAAACAAGTATATTTTAAATGGGCAGATAGCTATGAAAACTGTAGGATGTGATAGATTAGATGCTAGAGATTTCAAACCCTCATACTCTTATTTTTTGTAATCCTCCCCCCCCTTTTTTTTTTTTTTTTAAAGGGGGGGATGGGAGGAAATCTGAGTGGAAAGGGCAGCTGGAACGGGTATGAAATGACAGCTGCCTTTTGAGCCACCATTTCTTGCTGTTCTTAAGAAGGCTAGAAAAACTTGCACAATCTTGCACTAAATTAGTACGTAAGAGCAACATATCCCATCCTTGAATGAGCAGAAAGGTGATCACCAACATTCATAATCTGGTACTGTGCAGACAGCCACAGAGAGATTAACCCTGTCTATCACCACGTTCTTTGCTGTACTTTGTTGCAATTTACACTGCTGTTCCAGAAATAGTATTAAAAGACTGCTGGGGAACATAACCTATACAAATGTGCTTATTAGAAGTTTACGATACCTTAAAATAAATTCCTCCCCTCATTTTTGTTTTTTAAAAAAAAAAAATCTTCACTTTACAAAGATACTGAAACTCGAGTAGTTTGTGGTATCACACATCACATGAATTTGTAGCTAATGCCCCTCCTGAAGACAAAAAAAATTACAGCCATAGTATTATAACAAGCAACAAAAATCTGAGCCATACTTCCTTGTCTGCCATCCTAACCTCCCAGAAAACAAACACTCCCACACACAAAAACCTTCCAAATGCCAGTAATCTTTTCTTTGTAATGTAATACATATCACTGCAGCTATTAAAAGCTGTTCTGACAATCAGCCTTAAAAATATATATATATATGAAGTGGACTTCTATGGTTAAGCGTTTCATTTATTTAATAATGCATTTACTTAAATCAAAGGTGTTTATTACTCTCCAAGAATGTCACAGTAACAAGGAAGATTAACTACAACATGGCACCTCTGATGATGATAACCTAGTGCATTTGCTCTGCATCAGCTGCTTACCATTACCCATCCTAGGATTTATAACAAAAAAAAAAAAAAAAACAGGGGAAATTTTTTTTTTTTTTTTTTTTTTGCATACAGAGTTAGCGAAGTCTTGCCTCATCATTTATTCCCTTTTCTCAAGCTTTCTCATCCCTTGTGCTGGCTCAGGCTTTTGTGCTGCAATAATAAGCTCAAAGAACTGATTGCCATTAAAATTGATTGACAAGATAAAAGAAGTTACTTTAAATATTTGTACTGACCAAAGCATGTAAAGACACAGAGGCAGGAAAAATGAGGACCATTCTGTCAGCAGAGAGGCAAGCTTATGTTGCCTCAAAGTTTATGTGAGATTATGGCTCAAGTCAGAGTCACTACAAGCTGCAGGTAGGGCACGCTGTTGTGCCAGGGCACCTACAAGGTAATGAAATGTCTTCCTCTAAAATTGCCATGATAACAAAGGAAAACATTGGAGGTCTATTCTGCAGAAATCTCTGTACCTACAGAGGATGTAACTACTCACCCATGCACTCCTGCTGCTTAGCATCATTCCAGAATTAGGAAGTATGTGGTAAAAAATTACCAACACCTTAGATGACTTCTGAATCTGCTCCAGTATATAACAAAATTTATATTACCAAAACAGTTCTGTTATCTATCTTAAAAAATAAGTGTGAAATTGCACACAGTGTGGGAGAAAATGTCATTCCTGTACTTGCCTTTTACCTATTGAAGGAAGCAGAGACGCTAAATTACTGTTGGTGACTGAAAGAGGCTTATTCACAAGCATGAACAAAAGGCCCCAGGTGCTTCAATAGAAACAGCTTGTGTGTAAATCAGATGAGTGACCCAACAGAACAACTTCATTTACAGCCTGATCTCTGAAAAATCTGAACAGCCTCTATCCCCATCCACTGAGCAAACCACGTGTCAAACACTCACTTTTGTACTGTCAGCTCCACAAACAAGGGACTGGCCTCAACATTCACTACTTGAAAGCTGACTGACAAAATCCTCTACTGAACTTAAGTCAATCTACATTGATTCTTCAAAACAAAGATACAGAGGCACAGCGTTTGGACTACAGCCAAATGGGAATGCTGATATTGCTTGCTAAGTACTGGTCCAGGATGCAGCAGTCTCTCTACCTTCCTGACTCCTGACTGTATTAATACTTTGGATGTCTGCACAACTTTTGGACCCAGAGATGAAAGCTTAAAAACTAAGCATCTTTCATACACATTGAGTGGCATAAGATAGGGAATTATTTGACAAAAACCACAATTTTTTTCCAACTGATTTTTAAGTCCTATTCCCTGAAGTCTGAAATATATTTTCCCACTAAAGAAATACAGGGAATACAGTTTCAAACAAGACCTGTAACCTCCTTCTGACAGAGGCTCGTACCAGCTGCTCCACTGGTGATTAAAATGGGCTTGCCTTACTTTGAATTAAAATAAGCTAGAAGCATTCACAGTCACTGGCTGAGCTGAGTGGGCAGTAAGGGAAGCCGTATTGTAACCTATTCAATTACTCTTGTAACTATACTCCAAGAATATTTTTGACTACATCAGATGTTCTGCCTCTAATAGACTACCCTCTCTTCCAATCATTTGATGTCCTAAAGACAAATCTCAATACACACTCAAAGGCTAAAGTTTTGCCAGTGCTAAAAATTGGTTATTTACTTTATTTGCTATTGCATTACAAGATTATACATTACTATTTCAGACTGTTGGGGTTTTTTGTTTTGGTTTGGTTTGGGTTTTTTTATCAAATTTGTTCTCTTCTAGCCCTTCAGCAAATACAATATACTAGGGGTAACTAACACAGTTTTAGTAAATTGTGTTACAGGTCAGAAATACATCACCTTGTCCTGTAAAACTAAGTGGCTCCACATGGGGAAAACACAAAAGTTCTTGGACTACTACAATTTACAACTATAGTGCACAGGTGTGACAACACAAACTTACTGTACTGAACTCACTGTAAAACAAGAGCCACAAAAAAAATTAATCAAACAATAGTTTAAGAATATTTTCTTTATAAATACTTCAGATAAATTAATTAGACGGTAGTACAGAATGACTGTCTTTAACTGTGGTGCGTTTTAACATAATAAGGTGTAACAACCTATTATCCCTGTCTGAACCCTGCACTCAACTTTACGATAACCTGCATGCCTAAAACGCCTTTGATTTACAGGCAATCTAACATATTTTTGCACATCTTCACGAGTTAGTGGCAAAACCAAAAAGGAAATTCAATTTTCTTCCAAGGGCTGGTTTTTGGTCATCTGTACATAATACTAATTTCACCTGCTAACCATACCTATTTCAATCATTTCTTAGTTCAGAATTATTTCCCTCCTAGTACAGTGTCCAGTGCTTTATGCAGTTGAACTTTAAAGATAAACCAGTAACAATTTCTACTTCTCTTGGGAGATGGGAATTAAGATCCTGTTCACCCAATATTTTCATTAAGGAGCATAAATACAGTATGACGCATACTGACAAGAGATGAAGAGTTTAAAAACGGAGAGAAATAAGGCTTTTTCCGGTTGCTCCAGCTGATCATAAGCCAGGGAACTGGATAAGGTTGTACAAAGAAAAACAGAAACGCAAGCTGTAACTATTATAAAAACCAGGATAAGAGGGGAATAGAAGTGCTAGAAATTCTACTACCCAAACTGAAGTAGATAAAACATAAGGGATGCTCTGAAGAGTATTTATATACACCAGACCTGAGCTTGATATGAGGAGATAGATCTTTCCCCACCTCTTTTTTTCATCACATTAGAAAGCAGATATGAGATGCCTGGCAAGTACAATTCTCCCTGAAAGTCTCTTTCGCAGTACTGTTCCCTGCATGCTCTCTAAAAATCTAATTCTCAGGAAATGTGCCTTTGAAATTTTGATCCCTTACGATGCTTTATCAAACACATGCTCAGATGTTACTAGGATTCCTAATATTCACAAATATTTTTATATTATAACACAACAAATGGGAGAACAAACCCTAATACTTTTCAGTCCCACTCAGTTCCTCTTACACTTTTTTTGGCCACATATTTAACTAAGACAAGGCCAAAAATATAACATGCATCACTTTCACATTGTGTCCAATGTGCACTATTCCTGTCACCACAGAATGCAATACATTGTATGAAACTTATCAGATAAGGCAGCTGCTATTTACATTACAAATGTTGGTCTCATTAAACTTAATAACAATTCCAGAAACT